AACATCATAGACTTAGCTCGATCCAAAAACGATCAACACTTTTGGAAGGCCCAAGTTGTAGTCGGACTTCTTGGTTAGATGGTGATATGGTAGCCCATTTATGTGGATGGTATTTAACCCATTTATGGAGGTATTACTTGGCCCATGGTGTGAAGTCTCGGCCCATACATCTAACCTAATAGTTGCATGTAAACACAGCTGTGTGTTTTATGTGGTGTGTGTGAGTATATTGTGCAAGAGTGTGGGGGAGAAAAGAGAGAGAAAGAGAGATGGCATCCGAATTGGGACCATTGTTGCTGTTTCTCCTTTCTACTCTTGCTAATACCGTCAACATCCTTTTCTTTTGCGCGGTTGAGAGAATTTGGAGCAATCAAAGTGGAGGTTTAATTTTGGATCGAGCTTAGGTGATTATAATGTTCGTTTAGTTGGTTTTTGAGCCCGGATCCAATTTTTTCTAAGATTTCCTCATTTCCATGACATTAAAATTAAAGGTGACAACTCGTCACATAATCAAACTTTAATAGGTTAATACCCTAATTACAAAGTTGAAAATATACCTTTTTTAAGTTTGCATTGCCCAAAGAAAAACACACACATGCGCTGAGGTATTTGTGTTGATTCCGCATTTGGCCCCACAATTATATTAATGCCACACGTGACATAACTCGTTTCAGGACAATAATGAATAAACTATAGAAACTATTTCTGTAGTTTTCCCCTTAAAAGGAAAAAAGGTAAAATTATATGCTTTCAAATAAAATAATGAAAACAACATTTTTGTCCCAGACAAAATCAACCTCGTTCGAGTGAAACACAGAACATGTTTCCGCAAAATACCATTTTTGACACTTTAGTTGACACTTGTATTATTGTCAAGTGTCAATTGAATGTAATAACTGTTTTAAATTTAAAATGTCCAATACAATAATGTCACGCGACAAAGTGTAAACTAAAGTGTACATAATAGTGTATATGTAGCAAAATTCTTTATTTATTTCTTGTAGTTTTTTCAACATGGTGAATTTACTAGTCTCATTTAATGAAAATAGAATTGTTTCAGTTTTCGCACAAATGAAAAAAATATAATTAATATAATAGAAAATAAAAAATTTACTTACATTTTTTCTAATACACAATAACATAAAGTAATTGCTTAAATATGAGTTGTTCATATTTATTGATAACACCACATATTCATTGAGAACATATTAAAAAAATTTAAAAAATCAATTTACTCTAAAGAAGAAAATTGACATATGCGAAGACTTATTTTCCACAATAACATAAAGTAATTGCTTAAATATGAGTTGTTCATATTTATTGATAACACCACATATTCATTGAGAACATATTAAAAAAATTTAAAAAATCAATTTACTCTAAAGAAGAAAATTGACATATGCGAAGACTTATTTTCCAGTACATAATTACAAAATAGCTCAACAAATTTGGATTTTTAAAGGTTTATATACACAAAAGGTAATTAAATTAAGTATGACATTTGCCTATGAGCAAAAAATTAAAGTTTTATCCCCAAACATGTTTTAATATGTTGTTTTTTCTTTACTTATAAGTAAAAGATACTACTTATATTAATATAATTCATATATGAAGTAGGCTGGTCACTGTTATAATATTATTAAAAAATACTGGTACTAAAATTAAAAAATTAGTGAACATATCTCAACCGTGATATCAAAATAAAAAATTGTTAGAAAAATTTATTCTTTAGAAACTAATAATGGAAATAGTAATAAATGAACTATACAAATATTTTTTTATTATAGTTAAAAAAAATTAGTATAATTAAAATACTACAGTATTAAATTCAAATATTAGTATTCATCTAGCAAATTAAACTCATCGCTAATACAATATTTACATAAACAAAAATTACCTAATTTAAAAATTAAGCGAATAAATACTGATTCAGCATTTATACATAATATAAAAGATTACATGATTTAAAATATTAGGCGAATAAGTTAGCTTCAGTGGATTAATTATATTATGATGTACAAACACTTTTCTACTTTTTTATCGAATTTTTACTAGGAACTTGTTTGAGCCTCATTTTTATTGAATAATGTATTTTGAAATAGTATATTAATAAAGAACGTGTATTTAAAAATATAAGAAAAAATTTAATATTATTTTATTAAAGAATGTGTTGTTAAATATAAAAGATAAAAAAATGTATTTTGAAAATAATTGTGGTCAAACAGGGGCTACACCTATGATATGATTAGAATTTATGACATTGATAAATAATTAGCTGCAACTTCGTAGGGAAAATCCGAAGTTTCACCAGTTCGGTAAGTTTATGAAAAATGAGGAATTCGGTATTCTTGATTTCAATACCGTATATGCCTTTTGTCCGGTAAGATGATATATAACAGCAAGTTACAGTCGTACAACTAATTGGATAATAACATAATGAACAACAAATCAACTATTGAATTTACTGCAATAAATAACAGAACGAATAATTAAAATTGTAGGAAATGAAATTTCAAACCGAGGCCTATGTTACACAGTTTTCTTAAAACAGATTCGCCCCCTCACAGTCTGTACTTGAAGTTTAAAACGAGCGTCTATTTCCCATGATACAACGATAAAACTAATAGCTTCCGAGCACCGTAAAAACCACTCCGACGAATTGAACTAGTGCCTGAACTACACCACCACCAAGACAGAAATGCAGAAAAGACAGAATTTTATGCAAATGAATTTCTTGTGTATTCTAAACTTGAAAGCTTTTGCTTGTGTGTTGAAATGAGGAAAATGAGTCATTATTTATAGGTTAGGCTACCATTAATGGCAATGACCTTTGGAATTTCTCATCTTTTTTCCTATGTGGGACAAATTCATTTTTCCCACATAAACTCCCTTTTGAGTGGCACACTTTGAGCCTCAATTTCTCATTCACCCGAGCTTCATCTTTGTCAAGTAAGTATATGATTTCGATATACTCACGGAGGAGAACACAAATCAACTTTCATCTTCCAAATTGAACAACCGGGTCCCACTCAAAACTCGTGCCAAAGTCGGCCCATAACTCAGTTTTTTTTTTTTTTTCCCGACAACTTCCCCAAAGGACCACCTAAAGATAATAAAGAATAAAATAAAATCTAAATTTACCTAGATTATGTTCATATTATCATAGCCTGCAAAGTCACATAAAATGAATTGATGAACTGAATTGTTAGTGAAATTTTGATAAATGAATGTTCGATGAATTAATAATCTTGCTTAAATAGCAAAATTATTTTATCTCGACTGGGGTCAGTTTACTAATTTAACAATCCCGCTAAATGCATAAGATAATAATTTTTTGAGATCCTTTAAGGCCTAAGTAATATATGAAACAATAATTGTTTAAAGTCATAAAACTTTTCTTAGACCTACCGCTGCAAATCTTTTTTGACTACAAGAAGAATGTTCATTTTTATATTCACAGAAGGCTCTCCTCATCTCATCAATCAACGTATACTTTTTACTCCTTTCAAATGAGACGTCATTGTAGAAAAATGTATGAAAGTTTGAATGATGGGGAATCTTAAGTTAAAATTAATGATTGTAGAAATAATTTGAACGACTAATATTTCAAAATATTAAAATTTGAAGTCAATGCATATAGATTAATGTTTTCTCTTTAATGTATGTATGTGTGTATCTTTTTTTGTCCTTACTTATTAAATTTTGAATTTCATCACATTTAAATTTTTTTTCTTTTTAAATTTTCTACATTTGTTATGGTAAAATATAATACCGGTTATAAAAATATAAAATATCATTTATCGATAAATTAATAACCCCTCTAAAATAGTAATTTTTTCTTGATCTCAATATTATTAGTTTATAGAGGATTTACTGTATGTTTCAACTTAAATATTCATGCAATCTAGAACTAAAAAAACTTATTTAAAAAAAAAAAGAAAAAGAAATACAAAAATATGAAGACAAAAGCTCTTAATAGACTTGCAAGGCTTTTTCTAGTCCTCGAAATGCAATGGAAGGCACGAAATATTCGTTTTTATAGTTGTTCGAAGCTTTCAAATATATTTATTCCCGTTGACAAAGATTATTTTATTTGATTTTATTTTTATATTACAAGTTCGATGCATATCATTCTTTCTCTAGTTCTTAATAAGAGCATTCGCATAAACCTATTGTGATTTTATATTGCTTTACAAAATAATGGATTTGTGCTTATTGAGTTATCCTGATTAAATAAAAAAATCATATAGTTCTATTTGGTAGGGATAAAAATATAGATTTTAATCTAAATTAAATTAAATAATTATTTTAACAATATATTATTAAAAATTTAATTTTAATTCTAGTACTTCTAGTTCCATATGGTTCCAAAATCCAAATCCAAATAATGGAATACGAATTGTAACACTGTTTTTATCGGACCGTTCAAAAGGCAAAAGAAAAGGAGTGACAAACAATAAATATATATATTTTTTGTCACATCCAAAGTGCGTTGGATATTTAAAACCGGACAGAAGGCCCCCATTCATTATTTAGTGCACTTCTGCCCTTTACGCGAGCGAGAGAGAGAGAGAGAGAGCATTATTCCAAAATCATTTTTCTCAAAAAATAAATAATTATTTTCACATTTCTTCATATTTTTGAAGAATTATACACTACTTGTATACATTTTCTGATCAATGGTCATGATTTTGACACACCATGAACGTCAAACTTCATTTATAGAAATTTTGATTTTTTAACTACACATTCTTCAAGAATATATCACTTTTTCCAAAAAAATGGGTACTTACATTGATTACACACTACATTAAAGCTTTTCATTTATCCATCTTAAACCCCGGTTTGGCCCCCATTTTTTGAATTGAAAATGAATGAAATAATATATTTTTTTAAAAAAATAAGTGATTGAAAATAGGAGAGGGAAAAAAAATTTAACGAGGGCCAAAAGGAACTAAATGGACAGAAAAACTTTCCAGGTTTTGCGCTTTTATAGGCAACTTTTGGTCTGTGCATAAGAACGGGCGTTTAGATGAAGGGAAATAGAGAGAGAGAGAGAGAGATGGGCAATGAAATGGAATGGCTATCAACGTCAACTGTGATAGAAAGAGCAAAAGAGGAACTGGAAATTTTGGAAACTCACCATCCCAATGGCTTTCACTATTTGAAGTCGGAGCTCAAGATTTTCATTTCCAGTTTCGACTCTCACAACTTCTCTCCTCTTCCTCTATGTGATACTGATACTGCTCCTCTGCCTACTACTTCCTCTGCTCTCACTCAAGGTTTCTACTTTTCTCCTTCTAAATATCCTCTATAAAAGGCTTGGATTGACGACTTTATGAATGGATTTTCTTGATATATCAAGTCTTTTTTGATGATTCGATTTACTGCACTATCTGACCTGTATTAAGTAAAGGACCCCATTTATTGAGAGAGAGAGAGAGCGAGACAGAGGGAACTGTTTCTTGTTCAACTACAGGACAGTTATTCAATTTTATTCTTTTATTTTCTTTTTGTTCGTGTTCAAAAAAATTAGTTTGATATATATTTGTACAATTAAATGAATCACTTAATTCCACTTAATCTTATATATTTGCATATCAAACATGATGATTGACTTATTCCTTAAATAGCACATAGAAAAAGGAAAGAAGAATATCTAAAATTGCATATCTTTCTTTCTCTAGTTCTTAATAAGAGCATTCGCATAAACCTATTGTGATTTTATATTGCTTTACAAAATAATGGATTTGTGCTTATTGAGTTATCCTGATTAAATAAAAAAATCATATAGTTCTATTTGGTAGGGATAAAAATATAGATTTTAATCTAAATTAAATTAAATAATTATTTTAACAATATATTATTAAAAATTTAATTTTAATTCTAGTACTTCTAGTTCCATATGGTTCCAAAATCCAAATCCAAATAATGGAATACGAATTGTAACACTGTTTTTATCGGACCGTTCAAAAGGCAAAAGAAAAGGAGTGACAAACAATAAATATATATATTTTTTGTCACATCCAAAGTGCGTTGGATATTTAAAACCGGACAGAAGGCCCCCATTCATTATTTAGTGCACTTCTGCCCTTCACGCGAGCGAGAGAGAGAGAGAGAGAGAGAGAGAGAGAACATTATTCCAAAATCATTTTTCTCAAAAAATAAATAATTATTTTCACATTTCTTCATATTTTTGAAGAATTATACACTACTTGTATACATTTTCTGATCAATGGTCATGATTTTGACACACCATGAACGTCAAACTTCATTTATAGAAATTTTGATTTTTTAACTACACATTCTTCAAGAATATATCACTTTTTCCAAAAAAATGGGTACTTACATTGATTACACACTACATTAAAGCTTTTCATTTATCCATCTTAAACCCCGGTTTGGCCCCCATTTTTTGAATTGAAAATGAATGAAATAATATATTTTTTTAAAAAAATAAGTGATTGAAAATAGGAGAGGGAAAAAAAATTTAACGAGGGCCAAAAGGAACTAAATGGACAGAAAAACTTTCCAGGTTTTGCGCTTTTATAGGCAACTTTTGGTCTGTGCATAAGAACGGGCGTTTAGATGAAGGGAAATAGAGAGAGAGAGAGAGAGATGGGCAATGAAATGGAATGGCTATCAACGTCAACTGTGATAGAAAGAGCAAAAGAGGAACTGGAAATTTTGGAAACTCACCATCCCAATGGCTTTCACTATTTGAAGTCGGAGCTCAAGATTTTCATTTCCAGTTTCGACTCTCACAACTTCTCTCCTCTTCCTCTATGTGATACTGATACTGCTCCTCTGCCTACTACTTCCTCTGCTCTCACTCAAGGTTTCTACTTTTCTCCTTCTAAATATCCTCTATAAAAGGCTTGGATTGACGACTTTATGAATGGATTTTCTTGATATATCAAGTCTTTTTTGATGATTCGATTTACTGCACTATCTGACCTGTATTAAGTAAAGGACCCCATTTATTGAGAGAGAGAGAGAGCGAGACAGAGGGAACTGTTTCTTGTTCAACTACAGGACAGTTATTCAATTTTATTCTTTTATTTTCTTTTTGTTCGTGTTCAAAAAAATTAGTTTGATATATATTTGTACAATTAAATGAATCACTTAATTCCACTTAATCTTATATATTTGCATATCAAACATGATGATTGACTTATTCCTTAAATAGCACATAGAAAAAGGAAAGAAGAATATCTAAAATTGCATTTCTTACATATTATTTGATTTTAATCCTTCATCTTTCACACTGTATTTTCAGAAAGGAAATGTAATGAGACCCCAGTTTCAATTTTCACTAGTTTTATTTATAAAATCCTCCAAATGTAAACATTCTTGTACCAGCTAAATATTATTGTTTTCGTTGCAACAGAGTCATCAACCAGCAAAAAGAGAAAGGCAAACAGGCTGACGATCAATGAAGATGCTGATGAAACTGCGATGCCCAAGATTCAGAAGGTTGGCTCTAGTGGTTACACAAAAAAGATTGATGCAGTCCTTGAGAGAGCTCAACAATGTATCCATAAAATTCGACGATTCAAGGCCACTTTATAAGAGTTTGGAATAAAATATTACTCTTATGCACTGCACAATGTAAAGCCAACTACTTCCTTCTATTTGAGCATACATTAGAAGAAGCCATAGGCAGAAAAAACAAACGACTCATGTTCTGTTTACACAGAAGAAGACAGCATAAAATACCAATTTGGGAAATGCCAGGTTGTCTCAAAATTTTATCTCTGCATTAAAACAAATGAGTCTTAACCTTCATTTTATATACAATGATACATTTCCAGTACATAATGAAAATGTAACCACAACCTATTCACTCCATGGTGGTCCAGCCATTGAGTAAATAAATAACAGCCAAACAACAATAAACTTGCCAAAAGGTAGCAAAGGAAAAGATTCTATAACATTATAAATTTTATAAAATTGGACTGGGCTAGATCACTTTCCTCAACAGTGCTTGCAATTCATTTCAGTTTTTGAATAAGACCTTTTGTTCGTGTTTAAAAAAATTAGTTTGATATATATTTGTACAATTAAATGAATCACTTAATTCCACTTAGTCTTATATATTTGCATATCAAACATGATGATTGACTTATTCCTTAAATAGCACATAGAAAAAGGAAAGAAGAATATCTAAAATTGCATTTCTTACATATTATTTGATTTTAATCCTTCATCTTTCACACTGTATTTTCAGAAAGGAAATGTAATGAGACCCCAGTTTCAATTTTCGCTAGTTTTATTTATAAAATCCTCCAAATGTAAACATTCTTGTACCAGCTAAATATTATTGTTTTCGTTGCAACAGAGTCATCAACCAGCAAAAAGAGAAAGGCAAACAGGCTGACGATCAATGAAAATGCCGATGAAACTGCGATGCCCAAGATTCAGAAGGTTGGCTCTAGTGGTTACACAAAAAAGATTGATGCAGTCCTTGAGAGAGCTCAACAATGTATCCATAAAATTCGACGATTCAAGGCCACTTTATAAGAGTTTGGAATAAAATATTACTATTATGCACTGCACAATGTAAAGCCAACTTCTTCCTTCTATTTGAGCATACATTAGAAGAAGCCATAGGCAGAAAAAACAAACGACTCATGTTCTGTTTACACAGAAGAAGACAGCATAAAATACCAATTTGGGAAATGCCAGGTTGTCTCAAAATTTTATCTCTGCATTAAAACAAATGAGTCTTAACCTTCATTTTATATACAATGATACATTTCCAGTACATAATGAAAATGTAACCACAACCTATTCACTCCATGGTGGTCCAGCCATTGAGTAAATAAATAACAGCCAAACAACAATAAACTTGCCAAAAGGTAGCAAAGGAAAAGATTCTATAACATTATAAATTTTATAAAATTGGACTGGGCTAGATCACTTTCCTCAACAGTGCTTGCAATTCATTTCAGTTTTTGAATAAGACCACGGTATTGTTTTAATTTGCAAGATATTACAAATTTCTTTAGTATTTTCTTGTTCTCTGGTTAGCTTTATCAGAATTTAACACTGCAACAATTGAAGAGAACTATTCAGCTTCTTGCAGGCAGCCCACCCTGCGGATCTTTCCCGATAGAATAGACAAGGCAGGAACTTCACTAGAGTCATAAGCAAACTCAACGCGAGACCAGCTTAGGGTCCCTCATCCCTCTGAATTACCGGAAGTCAACTTTAACCCTTAAAATCAAGAATCTTCTCCACATCATATAACACACCCACGAGAATTCTTCTAGCAAGCTCCTGTCTTCTTTCGAAGGTCCACAGTTCTGCATGACTGGCCTTATTAAGTTAATTTATTATAAATAAGATAAAAATCAAAAGAACAAACATTTTACTTCAATGAAGCAGAAGAGAACAAGTCATTAGTTTACTTCACTTATTACTTATAAAAATGCATGTACTGCAAATGTCAAAAAATTTGTTCCCTTGTTGTTCTCTCCTGTTTCTCTCTTCAATCCTCTACCCATTTCTCTTCCTAAACCAACTTCCTTTGTTTTCGAAATTCGGCCCCACCGTTTCCCAACCATCTTGCTTAACTTTAGCTGTGTATTTAAGCCGTACACCCATTGCCCAACTCCAAACGTCTATTGCACTTAAACTCTTGAATTTATTACAAATATATCAAAGGTAAAGACATGCTTGAATCTATTAGTATTAAGAACGTGCGTTGCATGTTTTATATATCGAATGAATGATATGCGTAATTTTTTAAAGTATTAATATTCTATAAAGTACTCGAAGTAATTGATATTGTTAAAAGAAAAATTAACATTGTAATAATATTTTTTTTTTTTTTTTGAAATTATGTATATAATGTGAAAACATTGAATAAGGATTGATTGCACTTATTTTTCATTTTGAAGTCGGAATGTTTTTCTTTCTCAAACATGACAAAGATATCTCTTAAAGTTCTCTTGCCACGTCAGCAATGAAAAGTTTTTATTCTTCCCACTGGTGGCAGGAGATCAGGCTTGGTACATCAACGCCTATTTTCGATTGTGTTCATGAGCTAGTTTTATTTATAAAATCCTCCAAATGTAAACATTCTTGTACCAGCTAAATATTATTGTTTTCGTTGCAACAGAGTCATCAACCAGCAAAAAGAGGAAGGCAAACAGGCTGACGATCAATGAAAATGCCGATGAAACTGCGATGCCCAAGATTCAGAAGGTTGGCTCTAGTGGTTACACAAAAAAGATTGATGCAGTCCTTGAGAGAGCTCAACAATGTATCCATAAAATTCGACGATTCAAGGCCACTTTATAAGAGTTTGGAATAAAATATTACTATTATGCACTGCACAATGTAAAGCCAACTTCTTCCTTCTATTTGAGCATACATTAGAAGAAGCCATAGGCAGAAAAAACAAACGACTCATGTTCTGTTTACACAGAAGAAGACAGCATAAAATACCAATTTGGGAAATGCCAGGTTGTCTCAAAATTTTATCTCTGCATTAAAAGAAATGAGTCTAACCTTCATTTTATATACAATGATACATTTCCAGTACATAATGAAAATGTAACAACAACCTATTCACTCCATGGTGGTCCAGCCATTGAGTAAATAAATAACAGCCAAACAACAATAAACTTGCCAAAAGGTAGCAAAGGAAAAGATTCTATAACATTATAAATTTTATAAAATTGGACTGGGCTAGATCACTTTCCTCAACAGTGCTTGCAATTCATTTCAGTTTTTGAATAAGACCACGGTATTGTTTTAATTTGCAAGATATTACAAATTTCTTTAGTATTTTCTTGTTCTCTGGTTAGCTTTATCAGAATGTAACACTGCAACAATTGAAGAGAACTATTTAGCTTCTTGCAGGCAGTCCACCCTGCGGATCTTTCCCGATAGAATAGACAAGGCAGGAACTTCACTAGAGTCATAAGCAAACTCAGCGCGAGACCAGCTTTGGGTCCCTCATCCCTCTGAATTACCGGAAGTCAACTTTAACCCTTAAAATCAAGAATCTTCTCCACATCATATAACACACCCACGAGAATTCTTCTAGCAAGCTCCTGTCTTCTTTCGAAAGTCCACAGTTCTGCATGACTGGCCTTATTAAGTTAATTTATTATAAATAAGATAAAAATCAAAAGAACAAACATTTTACTTCAATGAAGCAGAAGAGAACAAGTCATTAGTTTACTTCACTTATTACTTATAAAAATGCATGTACTGCAAATGTCAAAAAATTTGTTCCCTTGTTGTTCTCTCCTGTTTCTCTCTTCAATCCTCTACCCATTTCTCTTCCTAAACCAACTTCCTTTGTTTTCGAAATTCGGCCCCACCGTTTCCCAACCATCTTGCTTAACTTTAGCTGTGTATTTAAGCCGTACACCCATTGCCCAACTCCAAACGCCTATTGCACTTAAACTCTTGAATTTATTACAAATATATCAAAGGTAAAGACATGCTTGAATCTATTAGTATTAAGAACGTGCGTTGCATGTTTTATATATCGAATGAATGATATGCGTAATTTTTTAAAGTATTAATATTCTATAAAGTACTCGAAGTAATTGATATTGTTAAAAGAAAAATTAACATTGTAATAATATTTTTTTTTTTTTTTTGAAATTATGTATATAATGTGAAAACATTGAATAAGGATTGATTGCACTTATTTTTCATTTTGAAGTCGGAATGTTTTTCTTTCTCAAACATGACAAAGATATCTCTTAAAGTTCTCTTGCCACGTCAGCAATGAAAAGTTTTTATTCTTCCCACTGGTGGCAGGAGATCAGGCTTGGTACATCAACGCCTATTTTCGATTGTGTTCATGAATACGTTTTAGACACTGCTTTAGAATTAGGTATGGTAAAAGTGGAACAAATCACGAAACTAATGTAACAAATAATTTTTTTCCCTCTCTTCGACCTACATCTTAAAATCTAGGCCTGGGTCTAGCATATAGATGTTCAGCCCAAAGAACTCCACAAATTCATAAATATGAACAAAAAATAATGCATATATGCATGAATATGATGAGGCAATAATACTATTCGGCCACCACGTGCTTATGATGCCCTAAACGGATGTATATATACAATTAAAATGATTCATGGTAATAGATAAATCTAAAATAGAAATTTCATACAATTAAATCCATAATAATAGAAATTAAATTCAAATGCCAACCAAGCTTAACTAATCGCATAATAATAATAATAATAATTTGCAACACTCGCCAACTTATAAGCAGCTTATGTTTATCATTTAGATGGACAATACTAAAGGAATTAAAAAAATAAAAATATAGAGAAAAAGAACTACATTATCTTTTTAGCATGATTAAATATTTCGTCAAAGATCAAAACAACAATTTTTTTTTAAGAATTTGTCTCAGACAAATCGATTTCTCTAAAATTTCAATGCCCAACAACATGAATACATTTACATATATAAGTATCATCAAGGCTATTTTCGAGTTTTGAGAAGTTCTAACCCACAACAAATTGCTTTCATTAACAACGGTTGTTAATTTTAGCTCACTTCAAATTGTTTTCATTGACAATAAGTCTAGAATAAGATAGGTTGATTTTTATAGCTATCATAATCTTAAGGGATAATTGCAGCAGAAGCCTCAAACCTTTACAACACTAGCATACTTTCCCCAAATCTTTGATTTGTTACAGCCGTCACCTCTAACATTCCCAAACGTTGCATATGAGGCCCCCTTGGACGGTTTTTATCCAAAATTCCATTAGTTGACCAAAAAATTGATTTTGACCATATTTTAATAGTTTTTAAGTGGGCAAAATGGTAACTTCACATTAAAATCAAAATTAAAAAAAGGGAAAAAATAAAATTGGCCTTCTTCTCCGTCGCACCCCACCCCAACCCACCCCACCTGCCACAAATCCATCCCCTTTCACATAAACACTATCCATATACTTAACCTCTTGACAGGCAGATGATTTATTAGCAAAATCTCTCACGTTTGTTGTAAAAGCAGATTCTTGTGAAGAACCCATATCGAAAATGGCCTGAGAACAAACCCTATGTTCAGAAGCCAACCTCTTCGTCAGTAAAAACAAGATACATCAATTGTCTGAGTCAAAAATATACCAATCAATACATGTTCAATTTTCAAACCCTGATTCCATGGATCTACAAAGAAAATTCTTCAACCCAAAACATACCAGTCAGTATTTAATCGCTTAGGAACATCAATCATCCACTCGGGAAGCATAAGTTGCTTTGCGAACCATTGGCAAGCTTTGACCCCTTTCAGTCTGGATGCCTGTCTAACATCGTCTATGTCTCTTAAATCTCAACGCTGTTCTTGGGATTCAATTTTCAATTCGAGTATGAGTTTCAGTTCAGGTTGGAGCTGGAGGTCCCTTTGCTGGTTCGCATTAAGCGAGTTGAAGGGTGAGAACAGTGGAGGCTAAACAACGTGCTTGGTGTTGATCGTCGTGACGGTTCTGGCCTGCCGTTGTAAGGAGATTTCTCGACGCCTTTACTGGTCTGAGATAGCCGACCGTTTGAATGGACGGTGGAGTTCGTGCGTCACCATCTATTTAAGCAGCAGGTTGGGGTAGGGTGGAGAAGACGACCAATTTTATTTTTTCCCTTTTTTAAATTTTGATTTTAATGTGAAGTTACCATTTTGCCTTGTTAAAAACTTTTAAAATATGGTCAAAATCAATTTTTTGGTCAACTAACGAAATTTTGAATGAAAACCGTCCAAAGGGGCCCCATATGCAACGTTTGGAAAGGTTAGAGGTGACGGCTACAACAAATTAAAGGTTTGGGGAAAGTCTGTTAATGTTTTAAGGTTTGGGGCTTCTGCTGCAATTATCCCTAATCTTAATTATATTTATTACAAAATAGATGTACAAACATAAAGCAGCTTTGCATCAATCTCTTCATTGGCAAGAAATTAAAAAACGTAGTCTCAACAGACTCAGTCCATCTTCCTTCATTATATATTGAAATTTTAAACTTCTTATTATTGAAGATCATCACCAACTTTAAAATCTAGAATTTTCTAGTTAGTTTACCATTAATTTAGTCACATGTAATTTTCTATGCTAGAATATTCTAGGAGCCATTTGTAATACTATCTTATTACTAAAGCTAGAGGTATCTAGGATTATCTTCACCATCATACTAGAACCATCCATACCCATCCATTAACACTTACAAATACAAGGTGACTATGTATCCATGTGTGAGAAAGATTAGAGAAAGTGTGTGAAGAGAGTGAGAGCAAATAGAATAAGTGGGAAAGAGAGACATAGCGAGGTAGTGTAGTGTGTTAGTGAGGAATGTCTTCATATAATCAAAGTATGTAAAATTTATTTCATAAATAAAATAACATATTTTTTAAGTCTTAAATTCTACAATTATTGTGTGTGAATAGTTTAGAATTATAACACACTATAATGTTGTAATAATTTATTTAGTTTCAGATAATGATAAAAATATAGCGAAAAATAATTGAGAACTTAAGTGTGAAAATGAACAAAGATTATAAATATTTATTGTAGTTATAATGTTGTATAGTTAATAAAAATTTTAGTGGGGACATAATTACCCATTTTATTTGGTATTCCACTTTTATTTAAATTTAGGTATCATGGGAATTCATATATAACTTCCAATTAAAATAAATTTTAAATAAGTGTAAATATAATATAAAATGAAATTTTATCAAATTATATAGTAACATTTTCTATACATTCATTTTATTACATTAAGGGTTCTTTTCATTGAAAGAATGAAATTTGGGTGGAGAGAAAGTGAATTCCAGGGAATTTAATTGTTTAGAACTTGTTTTATTGGGAATTGTCAATTAAATGTGTTTGATTTGTATAATTTTTTACTTGAAAATGTTGAAATTTTGGATCTTTTGATGCTTGTTTGACTTTGTTTTCCATTAAAATTGTCAATTAAAGGGATATAATTTATTGCAATTGTGAATAGAATTTATTTCCATTGTCGAAAATAAAAAAAAATAAAAAAAACAAGTTGGAAAACACTTTTCCACCAAAAACCAAATGAAAACAAATTCCTTAAAAACCAAGAAAAGGGGTCACGTGGGAGGATAGGATGGAAAACCAATTCCATGAAAAATTTTGCCCATCAAACAACACATTTGGATGGAAAATAACTCCATTTTCCATAGAATTGACTTGTATCAAACAAGCCCTAAATATATTATTTACTTGTTAGGATATGAAACAACAAAATGAAACAATCATTTAAATAAGGGAATGAATATAGATGTTATTTTTTAAACTAACTAATTCAATCTTATTTGAATGATTGTTTCCACAAACAATTGAGGAAGGAAATTTAATTTATATTTTTGTAATAAAAGATGTTAATAAAAATTAATATAAAATTGAAAAGATTAATTTAGGGAATTATTAACAAATGGAAAAGAAAAGAGAGATTCTTGCTCCGAGTTTTATTTTGGATTTGCGTAGTGATAAAATCATTTCCAATTGGCTCCACCAATTCTTCAATAATAGGTATATGGCTGATTATTAAAGAATCTTTCATAGTAAAGGTTTTTTTTTTTTTTTTTTTTTTCATGTTGAATAAGTTGAATTAATGTTATTAATTAATTATTAACAAAACTAAAATTAAATAAGGATATATTGGACATATGACTAAATATGTAAGGAATTAATGTTATTAATTAATTATTAACAAAACTAAAATTAAATAAAAATATATTAGGTATATAGCTAAATATGGAAGGGTAAATTAGGTATTCAAAAGTTTCTCCTCAATCCTCCCTTTGATATATTGTAGATGAATACACCTCCCTTTAATATATTGTAGATGAATGCACTTTATAATTTAAAAGCTATTTTTCACTCTCTTAGCTTAATGTCAAACAAAGATAACTTAAGTAGCACTTAACATTGTATCGAGGATTCTTTAAGAAAACATAATATCAATCAGACAAGCAGTGATAGAACATATGTCTATTTTAATAATGCTTAACGAGGGGTGGGACGAGAGTTCTCTTAACTACGATGGGGGATAAAGGAAAATGTCTTCGAGTTTATATAAGATATGATGTTCTAATCCTTTCCATTAAAAACTCTCTTTTTGCTGCAGCTTATACAGAAGGTGATTGTAAATTTATTTTTTTTACCCCAATAATACGATATCATTTAAAAGGGATAATTGCAGTATCAATCCCAAACTTTTCAACTTTTTGCAAACTATACCTTAACATTTTATTTTTGTGGTCAAAGTCACAAACCTTTCACTTTAACGACATTTGCAGTCCATTGGACAGATTCCATCCAATATTCAATTAGTTAACCCTGAATAAAAAGTTTGACTCAACTTGACAAATAGTATATTTTATCATTTCTATAATAAAACAATTAAAATAATTAACTAAAAAATAAAAATATTGTTCATCTTCTCCAAAGATCCCCCACGCCTACGCCTACCCCTACCCCTATGCCTGCCCAACCCCCACCCTTCCCTAAAATAAAAAATCAGGAAATCAAATCCCTGTCACCACCAACACCCATCCAAACGATGCCCACCGCCACCACCTTTACCCAAATCCTAGACAACACAAAATAAATGTCGATTCATCCAATGATAAGTGTGTAAAAAATGCTGAATAGGAAAATCTCTTTATGGGTCCCATATTTGGGTCAACCACAGTCGAATTCAGATTTGAATTTGCACTACTCTGCGTTGACGTTTCAGATTTGGATTCCCCCAAAATCTTGTTTTATATATTCTGTTTCTTTTTTATTTCTTCCATTCTTTTCCCTTTTAACCCAAATCTTGTGCCGTGCATAGAAGAGATTGACCCATAAATCTTCATTTTGGATTGAGTTTTGATAAATTTGAACAACCAGGTCTTGTTGGGCTTGACATCTAGAGAATCGGTTGTTATATAAAGTTAAAAGGTGTAGAAATTTGGCAGATCTGGTGTTTTTATGTTAAAAGTAGGCTGTCATAATTGATTATATCCTATATAAATCGGTGAATAATAACTGAAAACTAATTGAAAAATAAATTGTGATTGTAGGAATATCGGTGGCATTGAGATCTGGGATTTAGGTGAGGAGCAAAGCAGGAAGTGTGTTGGTGGTAAAGCCATGCGGGGGACACTAGCTGAATGCAGTGGCTTTGGACAACAGGTTCATTTACGGGACGGTAGTTCGAAGAGGTGCTGTAGCTTTGTGGACGAAAAGGTTGCATCTTAGGGAAGCGTGGAGGGTAAGGAGGAGGGTGGGATTTTTGGAGAGGATGAACAACATTTTTTTGGTCAATTATTTTAACTGTTTTATTATAGAAATTGTAAATATACCATTTTAGCCACATTTAATTTTTCAAGTTAGTCAAATATTTTATTTCAAAGTTGACTAACGGAATATTTGATTGAATCCGTTCAATGGACCACAATTGTCATTATAGTGAAAGGTTTAGGACTGTGCCAGCAGAAATAAAAGATTAAGGTATAGTTTGCAGAAATTAAAAGGTTTGGGACCACTACTACAATTATCCCTACTTATAATGATACATATAGAGCTCAAGCACATGAAGAGTAAAAAAACAATTCTTCAGTTTCAAAATAACCATATGTCTCAGATGAAGTAAACTATAAACGCCAACCATACAACCCTTGTTTGAGCCCCATTTTGAGGAAAATAATGCATTTTGAATAGTAGATTGATGGAGAATGTGTGGTTAAAAATTAAGGAAAAATTTGGATCTACGTGTAATATTATTTTATTGAAAAATGTATAATTGAAAATAAGTTCTGAAAAAAATGAATTTTTAGAAGAATGGGGATCAAACAAGGGCTAAGAAAAACATTCTCATTAACAATGCATGGAAATGATGCAGAAAGAAAAAATGCAACATTGCACAGCTATGTTTTCAGTAGATATGTTACTAATTGCAACTTTGCACTTAATCATGGAACAGGGCTTTGCGCTTTCACAAGAACTGAATCCGGCACAATTCTAATATCTTGACTTGTCTAAACTAACCAATAGCCTGAATACTAGTTAAAATAAAATATCAATTTTTATTAATAAAACTCTCACCTTAATTAAAGATGTTGTGGGGAAGTCAAAAATGTCATCAATAGTTACTAAGTCTAGTTCATTAGCAATTTAGTACAATGACCCAAAATGTGGAATACTAGTGATGGTTGTGAAAAACATCTCTTCTTCCTATCTCAAACGTTCAAATAAATAAGATTTCAGCATAGAAAATTTTCATGGGAAAATCAATTGCATACTTTATTATGATATAGATCTCCCACAAAAGATTATCTCATTTACCAAATAATAGGCACCATATCCTCCTAGCTCACCGAGATAGCATAAAAACATTTCCCGTCAGGAAATCAGAGCCAATATAAAAATAATCTTTTCCTATCAATTCTAAACAAATGCATTAGCTTAGAGAAAATTTTCTAATTTCTATATTCTTATATACTTCTTCAATCACTAAATTTGCAACCATCTAATGAATTTAAAAAGAGAACATAGAGATCGACTAGCTAAAACAGTAGGGACCAGAGGAGGAAGTAAGTGATAACGTAGTTACCTCTGAGGACAGAAGCATATCCCAACTTCTGGTCCATTTGTGCATTATGGGTTCCCTTTGATCGAACTCCTCGTGGCATCTTATTATGGACCTTCAATTCTTATCCTCCTAGATGCACTGTTGTCACTTAGCAAATCATTCATTCAATAGAGACCTCAAACGACTCACTTCTCTAATTCACTAGCTCAATCATTCTTCACTTCTTTCACTCTGTTTCCGTCACTCTCCACAATCTTCAACTCACTACCCCCTCTGTCCAAGCCACGACACCCTAAAGCAACAAGATAAAGAAGCTTCCTCCGAGCCTCATAAACTGGATTTGGCTCAACCAAGCATCCCCTCTCATATGCCTCCCTCAGAAACACTGTGTGTCTCTTCCCTTTGGTCGACAAATAGAACATCCCAGGATGATCCAGGAACAAATCCCTAATATTCAATTCAATTCCAAACCATTTCCTAAAATGACTAATCTTTTCTACCTCCACCATCTTCTCCACAGTCAAGCTCAAGAACTCATGCACAATCCCCACTGCCCGCTTTTCCACTCTCATCATTCCACTCTTACTCCTCTTTTTCTCCACCAAACCCATTTCCTCATATGGCCCAATATACGGTAAGCTCTGCCATTCCTTTACTTTCGCCTTAAAATTCTTTGTCAAACGCATCCCTGGTGGAAACACGTGTTTAAATCTATACTTCAATTCAGTCCTATCCACACTACAATCCTCTTTACAACATTCTTCAACCCTCCATTTTTCGACAGCGGGAACCAAACAATCCTTTGGCACTTCACAAGAATTGAGCCTTAAAACATGAGTATTGGGCTCATTTCCATCGGCAAGCGAAAAGAGGTCAAAATTTTTTGCAATAACAGAGTCCTCAAAGTCATCGGGGAGGCCCAATTCTCTCCATACCTTAAAAAGGGCTCGAAGAGGCAGCTTTTTAGTCATTGACATGGAGAGAAGCTTTACCAATCTCGTGACTACAAGTGGCAATGAGTCCTCAATAGCCTCAGACTCTTGACGGATGACTTGTAGGGCGGCGGGAGTGAGGGAGCAGAAAGGCTGGAGTTTTTCGGGGTTGTGAAAAATGTGGAAGATGTGGGGGTACTTCCGGAGGAAGGCGGCTGGGCCCCGGTTAAGGTGAAGTTTCTGGGAGAGACGATGGAGGAAGTCGAGGGAAACGGAGGGTGGGTCGGAGGTTGAGGCAAGAATGAGGTCCTGGATGGCGATCGCTTTGAGGAGGATCTTGTATTTCTCCATGAGCTTTTCGAAGGTGGGATCTCGGGCTCTGGAGGCTACATACTGAGCTGAGGTGGTTGTGGTGCGGCGTAGAAGGGCGGATGCGACGAGGGGTTTGGCAGTGAGTGTTCTGAAGATTTGGGCCGCCATTATCGGCTGCTCTCAGTTAGTGGCTGTGGATTTGGCTCACCACTTGCTCTGAGCAGATGCGGAAATGCACTTCTGCGAAGCGTGTTCTTCCTATTCAAAGGTAGGATTCTTCTTTAAACGAAAATAGGTTTAACATTTGATTGTGTCCCATTCGTCGGGGGGGAAAAAACAAGAAACAAAAAAAACAAAAATTATTTCTTTTCAAATTCATTTTTAATCTTATATTAATATTAGATCAATAAAATAATTTTACATGTAAATCAATTACACTTCCATACTTTTAATTATACATTCTCCTAAAATTACTATTACAAAATCTATTGTCACACAAAGCCCTGTTTGACAATCATTATTTTAAAATTCTTTAATTATCTTATTGATTTTCAACCATATATTTATACGAAAAGACATATTGCACATAAATTTAAAAAAATTTCATATCATTTACCAAATATTTTCCAAAAAATTACTATTCAAAGATCTTTTTTTTTTTTTTTTTTCCAAATAACGGCTATCAAATAAGATAAAATGGGACTCAAACAAATCCTCAAAATAACCGTCACAAATGTAGCAAAGTTTTATTTTGGTTAAACTTTGTTTACTGATGTGTTTACCCTAATCTAGGTATGATACAAGATTAGCGGAAACGAAATCAAGTCATGTTCAATTAAGTATTATTTCAATATCGCTGTTTTCCCCAAAGCTATATGCAATGAATAATGCTTATCCTCCAAGATTGATCTCAACATGTTTCTTCATGAAAAGAGAAGCATTGTAACGAATATAATTTGATTTCTTTTAATCTCTTCGTATAAAAATAATCAAGTTGTCATCTAAATCAATCATCATAGCAATAAGATTGATGTAATTTAAGGAGACGGAAAGATTATCGTAACTGCTTTCCAAACCGGCCTCTCATACAAAAGCATATTAATGGATTTTACCTAGTCACATAGACTTCAAGCTAACGGACAAAATCAAAATGTAGATGAATTATAATCTGCAATTCCACTAACGAACAAAATAAAAATTGTAGATTAATTACAATCCACAATTCTTTCATCATTCTTCCTTTCTATCGTGAAGAAACTATAAAACAAAGCCTTGATTTAGACTTGTGAGGTCAGAGAAATCAGTAGCTTGTAACGAGTTCTCTTGAATTTCTGACATGTGATCTATGCACTATGACATTTAACTTGTAAATTGTTACATGTGATATTGATCCAATAGCATGTAACCAGTTCTCTTAAATATATGACATGAAGATATTGATTTGTTACCCATGTAATATAATCTGTGACATGTAATAATATGAATGTGACATGTTATTAGTGCACAAAGACATATGACATGTGATCGGTGACCAGTTAATTTTGATTTATGACATGTTGACATTGATTTGAGACTTATACAATATGATTTGCGATATGTAAAGTGTGATTTGTGACCAATTCGATTTGATATGTCACCTATAGACATTTATCTGTGATCCATGCAAAATGATCTGTGACCTATCACCACCATTGACACTACCACCAGATATTAACACAATATCTGACACACAATATGTTAATAGTGACTCTCGCCAACGCCACTACCATAACAAAACTACCTCAAAACCAACACAAAAATCACTTCAAAATCTCCAAAATAGTCACAAAACACCACAAAACTGTTGCAATGACAACATGAGCATAGCGACAATTTGGTGCCACACACAGTGGTGCTCATTCGCCACTATTGACGCTCACAGCGATAAGTGGCATCGCCGCTGTGAACTCCGAAGAAGAAGGGAAAAAATGGTAAATAGAGAATAAAGAGCATAAAGAAATAAGGAAGGAGAAAATGAAAATGGGTCTGGAGTGGGGTGTGGGGTATGTAAATTAATTAATTTTATAATAATATTATTAATATTAACAGTTGAATTATCACTAATTGTAGTGGCGAATACAGAAATTTTGAGTTAGTGGGGCACGATTTTCCTTTCAAATTTCAATTGTTGGCAACTACTGGTGCAAGGCAGAATTGCAGTTGGCAGATGAACGGTTTTCTTTTCAAACTTTGGTGTTTGCACTTTGATGTTCGGTTTGTAATGAGTTAATGGGTTTACACCTTTTTTTTTCGTTTTCAATTTCAATGTTTGTTAATTAATGGAATTGGGAGTTGGCTGGGAATTGATTGGGTCACGTGAGAATTGGGAGTTGCTTGGAAATTGGGTGCCATTTTACATATTTAAAAATAATAATAAAAAATCGACCCAACAAGTCCGGCAATGGATCCGCCCCTAACTAGTTGAACCCACTATCTATTGGGCCTAACTTCAGAAGAAATCTGTAGCAATCCAAATAAAATGGACTAGTCTAATTCTTGAGAGTTTGAAAAACTTTCCCCATAGAATTATTTTATATGTCCAGTGGTGCTCCCTATTTGTGGGGGGTTGGTTTAAAATCCTATTTTTAAAGGGTACTGCTATTTATTTCCGCGTTTAAAAATATAATTATATTTTATTTTTTTATCTTATATAAATTTATTTGAATAGACATATAAAATTTAATAAAGATATATCATTTTAACTTCATCTACTAATATTTATTTTTATAATTTCTTTTAGACATTTTTATATTCTTTTAGAGTTTGTGTTTAACTAAAATTCTAATAATAATAAAATACCATCTTCATTTAAAATCATGAAACCCTAATTATAAAATATTCTCTTCAATGGAAATTAAAAAAAAAAAAATCAACTCATTATTAGAGTTATAATTCTTTCATCATATGAAAAATGGAATATCATTTTTATGCTTTTTTAAGCATTTGTTTGACAGATGAAAATATACGAGAAATTTCAAAATAAATTTCAATATCTGTTCAAATATTATTACATTACAAAAGAAAACAAACTTAAAATTATTAGTCGAAACACAAACAACTAAAATTATGAGCTTATAAGCCAATATGTGTGTGTGTGTGTGTGTGTGTGATTGGGATAGAAAAAGTTTATAATATTAGAACTACAGGTATAAGAGATAATAAAAGATTAACTTATCAAGTAAAATATAGTATAGATATTTGTGGCTATTTTGAAGAAGATAATATAGTAGGAACATATAGTAAAGATTTACTTGAAATTTTAGAAAATTTAAGAATTGTTAGAGACTTACCTGTTGAATTAAGAGAAAATATAGTAAAAAGAGTTTTAGTAGAAGAATATAGACATATTTATATTTTAACAGAAACCTCTTATACATTAGAACTCTGGATACAAATAGAAAACTTGAATATTTAGATTTAGACTTAAGAAATACCAGTAAAAAAGTACAAACAATAGATAATAATATAATTAAGTGTAATTTAGATAATAAGTATAAATTACACAGCTTATTTTCAGAAGATCCAAGTCAGAATTGTTTATTAGACTTAATCATAAATTTATCAAAAAATTTAGAATTAGAAAATAAAAAGCAAAATAATTATTTAGAAATTATAAAAGAAAATATTACAATTAGAGATCAAGAGATCAAAAATACAAAAGAATCTTTAGATTATATTAAAAATCAAAATTCAAGTTTTTTAGAAAAACTTGTAAAATTAGAAAAAATATCATCTAAAGTAGATTTAACAGAGATAAAAAGAATTTTAGATTACAATAAATCTAAAGAAATAGAAATAGGATCTACTTCAAGTGTAGAAAAAAATCTAAAAACTTTAACAAATACATTAGAAAATTTAAGTTTTAGAGAAACGGGAAAAGAAAAAGTAACTAGAAAATTACCTAAAGAGTATAAATTTTCAAGATGAATATAAATCCTTTCTTAGGAAGATCTAGAATAATAAATGAAGAAGCATCTACATCTAGAAACAATACTTCAAGTATAAGCAGAAACATAACAGAAAGAGTTTTAAATAGATCAGTAAAATATAATCAAAATATAGAAGAAATTATAGATCCTCAACAAAATTATTTAAGATTTCAGACTAATGGATTAAGAATTCTTAACCCAGAAATATTATATAATAGAGGAATTTTTGAAATAGGACCACAATTTTTCAAACATAGTAGAGAGGTATCTGTTCAGTGTATAGGAAATCAAGTAAGAAAATTAAATTTAATATCAAAAGATTCTAAGAGAGAATTAAAAAAGAAAAATTTTAGATTTATGCATTTAGGATTAATAGTTATAAGAATAAAAGGATTAATGAGAAAAAATTTAGGATGTAAAGTTTTAGTTACCATATATGATGAAAGAATTAATAATAAAGATAAAAGTATGATTGCTGGTACAGAAGTTGATATGAATAATAATAATGGAATAACTTATTGTAATCCAGACTTTTTATTAACTATTAAAGATTTTTCAGATAAAATTAAGATAGGAATTCAAACAAAAGGATATGAAGAGGTAGAAAGTGGAGATAATTTGTTAATTAGTATAGGATTTTTAGGAAGATGTTCAAATAATTTCCAGACAAAATATAAAATTTATGTAGATAAAGTAGTAAATTTAATGAGTAGTAAATGAATTAATATGGTTAAACCTAAAGGATACTCATCAGAACAATTAGCAGGACTAGAATGTGATATGGATAAATTCTTAGAAAATCAAGAAATGATTATAGCACCACAAGAAACATTAACTTATAAAGATATTCATGGAAGAACTAGTTTAAGATTTTTAGATTATAATCAGGTACAAAGACAAAATGACTTTGAAGAAGAAACTAATCCTGAAGAAGAAGAACAAAATGAACCATACCAAAATCAAGTTCATATAGAATTAATGGACGAAGAATTTGATAGAATAATTTATCCAAAAGAATTAGAAATGAATTTAGATAATAAAGAATTATTAGAACTTGAAGATCAAATGTATCTTAAAAAGATAATAACAGAATATGAATATTTATATTATGATCAAGAACAATATATAAGAATAGGAATTATTAAACAAGATTATAATTCAGAAAACTTAGATTTAAGTTATACAAAAGAACTTATGGAAGATTCTAATACATATAGAACTTTTAGTGATACTCCTTTTGATAAAACAATCAAACATGAATCAATAGTTTATGGTGGAGGATTTTCCCCAAGAGGAGCTTATCCTTTATATAATAA